GGGAAGGCATAAGCATCTATAAAGTTATAAATATCAGGGTAAATATGAAAGACAATCTTCTGTTAATTTCCTTGCAGTATGCATGAGCATTCAAAACAAACTTTGCAAGTTTCTTCCAATGTTTCTAATGTATGTGATATGTAAGACCTATGACAACTATTGAAAATAATGGGTAGGGGAGGGGATAAATAGACCTGATCCATACAGGATTTCTTATGTTGTACAACTAATTCTACCTAGACCATGTAAAGTTAAGACTGTGTGCTATAATCTTGGTACAACCACTAAGAAGAAACTGTAAACAGGGAGAGCCTAGAAGCCAATATGCAAATTGAAATGGAGTTCTAAAAAGATTTACGTTTCTTATTTTTCAATCTCCAAATATATATTAGTAGATAAGAAATAAAGCTCTTGCCTTTCAACTACATAATCTTCTCTATTACCTTTATCATATTAAAATTCCACTAAGTGTACATTTTATCATAGAAAAAATTATTTCCCAGATTTTAATGATCATCGTTGCTAAAGAAATACTTCTGCAGTTATTCTCAACCTAGGTCATATAGGATATGGAAGGTATGCTCAAAATTGAAAATCATGCAGGAAAAAAAAAGGAAAATAAAAGCAAAAGAGAAACACACACACGTGCACCCCAAATAATGGAATTCTTTAATATTGATTATAAGGTACAAATATTTAGAGTGAATAAAAGTATAAGGGATACAGATGGACTACCAAAAAAGAGGTTAGTGCCTGAGGGTTAGGCAATGGAAAAACCCAGAGTAATTTTTAAAAATCAAAAAGAAGAAGTCTAGAAATGAAAACAAAAACATTTAAATGAATAATCCATGGAGTGATTAAAGAACAAGTTAGAAAAGATTAGGGAGTATGTAAGTGAAATGAAAGAACACTTGAAGACAAGAGAAAAGGAGGGAGAAACTATAAAAGCTACTCAGGCATGAGGGATAACATTTGCAGAGAGGATCAGAATCATTGGGAGAATGCATATAAGCCATATTGGAAGAGAGCATATGTGATGGTATCAGGACTGGCCACTGGATCGTCCCATTCAAGAAACACAGTTTCTCATTTTTGGAAAAGATACCTTTAATGAACACTGTGCTGCATCATAGTAAAACTATTTCTAATTCCCATCTTTCCATCTTCCGTTGAATCTATGACAAATTGGATTTTTGCCCCAACAGCTCACTGGAACCATTCCCTATTCTGTACACAAAATAACAAAATCTCATCTTACTTGATTAGCAGCAGCATTCAACAGAGTGGATCATTCATTCCTCCTGGAAACACTTTTTCACTTGGTATCCATGGCAACATAGTTTCATGGGCTTGACTCCCATCTCGTCATTATGCTTTTGGTCTTGTTTGCTGATTTCACCTCTTCTCCTCTTCCTCTTTACATGAGAGAGTCTCAGAGCTTATCCTAGAACTTCCTCTTATTTACATCCACTTTAAGATCCTGGGTGACAATCTCTGTTACTTCGTTTTAAGCAGCACGTGCAAGCTGAAAAGCCCAGTTTTATACTTTCTTGCCCATATCTCACCATTCACCTTAGGACATTGATCTCTGAGCCCTTAGTCAACTCTTCCATTTGTGTGTTTCATGAAAAATTCACTCTTCAGATGTCCAATCCAGACACAGACTCCTAATCACACCTGCTTCATGTATAATCTTTTCCAGATCATTGAATGGAAACAGATTCAGTCTGTTTTCAGATAGTCAAGGTAAAGCACATGCTTCATCCGTGACCCCTTTCCTTCTTTCTCAGGCCATGTTCTCACATTAAAGGCTTCTTAACAGTGACTTCAAAGTATTCCAGAGTCCAATCTCTCATCACCATTGCCCCTTTCACCTTAGCTCAAGCCACCACATCCTTGTAGTATTTTGAGTCTCCCTGTTTTTGTTCTTAATTTTTACATTTCTTTTTAAAAATTTTTTAAAATTTATTTGACAGAGATCACAAGTAGACAGAGAGGCAGGCAGAGACAGAGGAGGAAGCAGGCTCCCAGCGGAGCAGAGAGCCCTGGGCTAGATCCCAGGATCCTGGGATCATGACCTGAGCCGAAGGCAGAGGCTTTAACCCAGTAGCCACTAGGGTGCCCCTAAATTTCTTTTTATCTGACCAGTTGAGACTACTATAATGTAGTCAGAGCATGCTACTCATCTGTCCCTGCTTCTTGAAAAAGAAGTTACAGACTTACCTAGCAAAAACCTGGGAGACCTGATCTTTTCAATTCATGCATATTACTTTATAATACAGCATTTTTCAATCTTTACTTCATTATCTCCCCCAAACTCAACCCACCAAGGAGTCTTTACAGACACATTATTGCCATGAAAATTCAAAACCAAGAATATGTTATGTCTCTCTTCATGTGCTATATGTGTATCTGTGCTTAAATAAAATGGGCTAGATTTTTTCACTACCAACACAACAGAAATACAATTATAAGAGAATATTATTTTCCTTAAGATTTTATTTATTTATTTGTTGAAGAGAGAGAGAGCACAGGCAGGCAGTGTGGCAGACAAAGGCAAAGAGAAAAGCAGGTTCCCCACTAAGCAAGGAGCCCAATGCAGGACCCTGGGATCATGATTTGAGCCAAAGGCAGACACTTAATGACTGAGCGACCCAGGTGCCCTACGAGAATAGTATTAAAAATATTTAAACCAACAAATGGGGACAACCTGGAAGAAATGGATAAATTCCTAGAAACATGAACTACCAAAACCAAAACAGGAAGAAATGGAAAACTTGAGCACATGGAAAACCAGCAAAGCAATCGAATCAGTCATCAAAAATCTCCCAACAAACAGAGCTCCAGGGCCAGATGTTCCCAAGGGGATTCTGCCAAACATTTAAAGAAGAATTAATACCTATTCTCCTCAAAAAATTCCAAACAAATAGAATTGGAAGGAAAACCTCCGAATTCATTCTATGAGGCCAGCATTAGCCTAATCGCAAAACCAGACAAAGACTCCACTATAAAAGAGGACTGCAGGCCAATATTCCTGATGAACATGGGTGCAAATATTCTCAGAAAAATATTAACAAATCAAATCCAACAGTAATTCAAAGAATCAAGTGGGATTTAATTGTTGGCAGCAAGGGTTGGTCAATATTCACAAAGAAAACAGTGTGATACATCATATTCATAAAAAAGTATAAGTACCATATGAAGCTTTCAACAGATGTATAGAAAGAATCTGACAATGAATATTCAAAATAGCTGGAGATAAATATTTCTAAATTCCTGTTGTTAATGGGATGATGTTTTCAGATATTTCCCATTATAATAGAAATGACATACGGAGAGTACAATGGAAAGAAGTGTGTAATGCCAAGATTTAGAATCCTGTATAAAAGTAGAACTGTCACATCTAAGATAATCAGGTCGCAGCACTTGTGACCAAGAAAAAAGCAAGTTAACAGCATGGGTGGTCAAGCCTCTGAACCCAATATCTTGTGGAACATAAACATTTCTCAGAGTCATGTCACAATTATCTGACACACTACAAGCTGAAAGTCTCAGACATTCTGGGGGTGTGTGATGAGATAAAGTGTCTTCAAAATAGATCAAGTGTAAGGATTTCCTGTTCAAATTTTAAGTGACACATTGAAGAGAAATCTACTTTTTCCACTATTACCTCTCTCTGAGCTCTCTCACAGGACCGGCAGTCTGTGAAGACCACAGATACTGTCCGGTAACAAGAGCAACCTGGTCTCCCCCTGGAAGACATAGGACTCTCTGGCCAAGAGAAGGTATGTGTCACTCCTCTGCTGTCTCTCTCCTAGACACCTCACTTAGTGGAAGATACAGATGCTGGATGGGATGCACATGAGGTACAGTTAATATGCAATCAAATCACAGAGAACACTGGTATATTTATTCCAACAATTCAGGGTAACTGACAAGAATGAATATGGAAAACACTGGATAATTTCTTAAGTATTCAAATTCTTGCCTGTGGAGAAGTAATTAGGTAATTAGGCAGAGAGCCCATTGTGAGGCTTGATCCCAGGACCCTGGGATCATGACCTGACATGAAGGCAGAGGCTTTAACCCACAAGCCACCCAGGCACCCCAGGAAGTAACTTCTTAAAGGTCATAGTTTGTAAATTTGAGACCGAGGAGTAATTCCATATTTCACTGACTTTGAGCTCATTGACTGAATTATGAAATCACATTTATTTCATTTATTAGAATTCCTTATACAACTGAAGTTTCCCTACTGCTTTTGACATTCTTAGGTTTTTCTGGAAGTTTGTACCAACAGTTTTCTTCCATAAATGAACTACACTTTTATTTATCGTTTTATGGTTTCACACCTTTACTATTAAATCGGTTGTCAATTTCTGGTGTTAAATAAGTACTTTAAAAAATACTTTTTGGTGTTTTTTATTTCATTATTGTTCAGGGTTTAGATAAGTTTATTGTGTCATGTAACATTTTCAGCACATAAAAGATTTCTTTTAAAACTTAATGATTTCTTCGAACTCCACAATTACTCAAAGTAAGAGACCACTTGATAGTACTGCATGACATTTTAGTAAAGAAACCTGAGTCTTAAATAAAAGTAATTTACTCCAGGAAATTCCTGTATGTGCTAAAACTAATATTTCCTAATTAGGGGGACTCAATTTTTTTAACCAATAATGCATTTAAAACTTGTCAAAAAAATTGATGCAGCATTTTCTTTCTAATGTAGCATTTTAATATTAACCCAGTTATTCTAGTAGTGTTGACCTGTTCTGTGGAATCTGGCCTTACATTAATGAGGACAATATAATTCCTGAATTCTTTTCCTTCTATTGTGTCAAACAGAGAATATCATTATAAAAACCACTAATTTCATCATGAAGCACTTCTTTAAAGCTCCAAGAAAATTAGTACCAGATTTTACATTGTTCAACAGAAGATGAGTACTACCACTCACCACACACTCCACCCACTGTGACTGTCCCACCCACTGTTCATCAAGTCCTTCAGTACAGTCCCATTCAGCCCTGTGCCTGACACCACACAGCTGCAGAGATGAATAACCAAGGAGTTACCTACGCAGAACTCAGTCAGGTTAAGGGTTCAAGAAGACAGCAAGTGAAAGCTAAGGGCACTAAAAGTGGCATTTTGGGAACAGAGCAGGAAATAATGTATGCCGAATTAACTCTTCAAGATGCTTCTCGGGATCTTCAAGGGAATGACAAGAACTACCAATGGAAAGGTAAAATACTTAATTCAGACATAGTATAACTGCTCTAGAATGTGCACTTGGGGAGCAGGGGTGCAGGGAATGAGTAGGGGATGATCTCATATTTTTCGTTTGTGTGGATCAGAGCTTGGAGCTGGAATATGGTATTGTAATTGAAATCTGAGGATGAACCTTGTTCAAGTGTTGTAATTCGTGATCTTAACCCAATCTCATGGGGGTAATATATTTATTGCAAATGTAATGGTATATTTTGAGAGACAATTACAATGACCGATACAAGTTTGGGGTCCAAATTTTTATATGTGACTTCCTGTGCTTTGTAGGTTCTCTTGTATGTAAATTTCCTAAACGATTGTTTTTCATCCATATTTTCTGAGCATTTTCATTTCTCTTCCAACTATTTACCTTCATGTCCAGGGAAGCTCATTGCTGGGATCCTGGGAATTATCTGCCTTGTCTTGATGTCCACTGTGGTCACAACAGTCGTTATTCACTGTAAGTGTTTCAATGATGACAAGGGAAATTTTTCACTTTAATGATTATCAGTGCTCGAAATGTTGTACAATATTATGGAATTGTATTACCTCATTTTAATGCATGCATACTCTAAGTGTGGAATGGTTACTCTGAATCTGTCAAAAGTAGAAATAACAGAATAACTCTGTATAAAGCATATTACACACATATTCAGATGTCATACCTGAAATACGAGTTATGACAGATACTTTATGGAGATATACTAGTTAGCTCTTGAGACTGGTTAAACCAAATACTGTAAAAGACTGTGAGGTTTGATTCTTTAAACTTTTGAATTGTCTTCTCCCACATGTTCACTATTTTATTGAATTTTTATGGGTAAAATCAATTTTATTACAGAGATTTCCCATTCTAAATAATATACCAAACTTCAAACTAAGAAACTCAAATCATAATGATTTATTTAGTTTCATATTAAGTTTTATGAACACTGTTTTAATTTTTCTAGTTACTACAGGACCAGTGCAGAACAAGGCATCTGTGGAAATAACGACCCAGAAAGGTAGAAAATCATTTCCAAAACTCTGATATTAGGATAGCTTTTATTTTGTCTGCATCTTAAGCTAGACAAGGATGATAATAGATGTTTTTTTGGGGAAAACGAATTAGAAAATTGCGTAGTAAATTTTCATAATTGATGAGTATAGGAGAGTATTACTTCTTATGCAACAGTATGCGGAAATACTCATTTAAAATCAGCATACAGGGGTGCCTGGGTGGCTCAGTGGATTAAGCCGCTGCCTTTGGCTAGGGTCATGGTCTCAGGGTTCTGGGATCAAGCCCTGCATCTGCCTCAGCATCCCTGCTGAGCGGAGAGCCTGTTTCCCCCTCTCTCTCTGCCTGACTCTCTGCCTACTTATGATCTCTCTCTCTGTCAAATAAATAAATAAAATCTTAAAAAATAAAATAAAATAAAATCAGCATACGTGAGGTACCTGGATGGCTCAGTGAGTGAAACGTCTGACTCTGGGTTTTGGCTCAGGTTATGAACTCAGGGTCCTGGGACGGAGCCCCCTGTCAGCTCCACGCTCAGTGCAGAGTCTGTTTGAGATTCTCTCTCCCTCTCCCTCTGCCCTCCGGTTCATGCTCTCTCTCTCTCTCTCTCTCTCTGTGAAATAAATAAATAGATCTTAAAATAAAATAAAATTACTACACCCATTGTTAACCAATGGCCTCAAATTTCCTCCTGCTATAACATCATATAATATAAACCGTTATACAATCCCAAATAAGTTGTTTTGTTCAGGGATTCAAAGTACATGTCAAGATGGACATTTTTGTTTGTTTTATCCTGGCACATAAGTAAGGGATGAAAGCCTGACTCTTCCGGCAGCGTGCCTGTGTTTTTGTTTTATTTTTGCCCGCTTGTGAAGGTAAAGTGGTGTGTTGTATACCCATTTGTGTATACATATGTAACTTGCAAACTTGCAAGTTTTAATATTCAAAGCCTTTTCGATAATATCTCATAATCTTTCTTTAGCTTATCATTGTGGTCACTGTCCAAAAGAGTGGATTACATATTCTAAAACTTGCTATTACATTAGCACTGAAAGAAAACCATGGAATGAGAGTCGGTTGTCCTGTGCTTCTAAGAACTCTACCCTGCTCTCCATAGAGGATGAAGAGGAAATGGTGAGGTTTCAAATGTTTGCAGCTTTTATTAAAAGCTTATCATTTAATATTACATTTGTAGATCTCATCCATATAGTCACACATATTGCTTGTTTATTTATTTTAAAGTCTGTTACTATTCCATAGTTTGACTCCATGATATTTACTATGTTTATACCTTTAATATACATTTAATAATTTCTAGTTCTTGCTTTTCATAGAAAGCCATATCTATACATGCTCTTTTGCCTGAAATAACCTTACTACATTTTTTACCACACATCAAGAAAACTATATGATTGGGGCACCAGGAGGGCTCAGTGGGTTAAGCCTCTGCCTTTGGCTTGGGTCATGATCTCAAGATCCTGGGATTGAGCCCCACATCAGGTTCTCTTCTCAGCAGGGAGCCTTCTTCCCCTTCTCTCTCTGCCTTCCTCTGTGCCTACTTGCGATCTCCTTGTCAGATAAATAAATAAAATCTTTAAAAAAGAAAACTATATGACAGGGCACATTCATCACAAAATAGAATATAATTACACATCAGATCATGAGCAAGAAGTTTAGAGCCTCTATTAGCCCTGCCAATGTTAATACTGTGAAATGTCTTTCTTATTTTTGGAGTTTATATTGATGGGATCATGCAGTATGCATTATTATGTGTGTCTCCTTTTGTTCTTGTATGATATTTGTGATCCATCTATATTATTCCATTTGTCTATAGTTTGTGAATTTTCACTGCTGCTGTCTTATATGAATAGGATATTTTAAAAGCTCTTCTCAGAAACTTAAATACTTTTTAGTATGTGGGTATTATGAATAATTATTTTATGAAAGGCTTTTTCTATGTGTTTTCCACATATTGTATTTGTAATAACTTATTATACATAACTACATAGTAATAGTATATTTATGAAATGTAAATAATGCATTTATCAAAATAACAATACATCAATGTGGCTCTGTGGGTTAAGCCTCTGCCTTCGGTTCTGGTCATGATCTCAGGGTTCCGGGATTGAGCCCCACATAGGGCTCTCTGCTGGGTGGGGAGCCTGCTTCCCCCTCCTCTCTCCCTGCCTCTCTGCCTACTTGTGATGTCTCTTCCTCTCTCTCCCTCTCTATCAAATAAATAAAGAAATCTTTAAGAAAAAAAGAAAACTACATGATTGTGCATATTCATCACAAAATAGTCAGAACATAATTACAAATCAGATCATGAGCAAGAAATTTAGAGCCTCTATTAGCCATGCCAGTTTTGATACTGTGAAATATCTTTGCTTATTTTTGGAATTTATATCGATGGAATCATGCAGTATGCATTATTATATGTGTCTCCTTTACTCTCGTATGATATTTGTAATCCATCTTTATTACTGCATTTGTCTATAGTTTGTGAATTTTCACTGCTGCTGTCTTATATGAATATGACATTTTAAAATCAATTTTCAGAAATTTACTTCCTTTTTAATATGTGGGTATTATAAGTAATTATTTTATGAAAGGCTTTTTCTATGTGTTTTCCATGTATTGTATTTATAACAACTTATTATACATAACTACATAATATATAGTATATTTATGAAATGTAAATAGTGCATTTGTCAAAATAGCAATGCATAAATGTAACATTATAATTGTATTTATATATGATTATTATACATTTTCTTTGAAGCATTAGTATGAAATTGCCCAGTCATAGATATGTGTATCTTTCAATATATTACATTATCCCTACATTTATCTAATGTATTGTATAAATAGATTGTACAAAATAGTCCCTTGATTCAAAATTCAGAGGTCTGAGAAAAATTATGACAAAAAGTTCTGGTGGTTATAGAACAGTATCATTTTTCTGGACTGTGAGTTATTAGGATATTTTCTTCGGTGAGAAGGACTCAAGTGTGTCCCTTGCTTATTTCTCCTAGATGGTGTTTTCTTTGGTTTTCTTGGAAGTCCTTACCATGTTTTAAATATGAGCTCTTTTTTCAGTTTAAAGGATGGAAATAGCTCTATATTGCATTTTTACTCCCCTATTAGAGTCCTTTAATGATCAGAATTTTAGTATTACCATGGTCCTATATATCATTTAGGTGTTAGTGATTATTTTGAACCTATTTCAGAAGTTAGTCAAAGTTCATAAATATAATTTTCCATATTACTTTTATCTTTTTTCTTTATGTATTAATTTTTCACTTTAATTAGAGTTTCTGATGCAATTGGAATTTATTTTTGGTGATGTTGTATGTGCAATGCAGTGAGATAAATGTGAAGGTTATAGTTTTCTACATCATGAACCTAATTGATGGAGCATAATGTAAAGCAAAGTCGATCTTTTCTTCATAAATAACTTTTTACATATATAGTCATATACATGTCCACATGTGTTCTAATCTGCTTCATATAAGCTATGTAGATAGCATGTATCTTTATATAGATCATTATAAACACATATATCAATCTACACATTCTGTCACAACCCACAGCACTTTGAGTAAAATGTAGAGCTTTCCTTTCACTTGATGTCCCTTTACTTTGTCTCATTTCTACTTTGTTTTAAATGTTTCTCTATTACGTTGAGAATTATGTGAATGTTATCACTTTGTTTCAACTGATGATTTTCATTCAAATATCAAACAATTTAGACACTAGAGTTGAAGCAAAGTCCCTTAGACCTAATGACAGTTTTATACTTTTGTTTTCCCTTTCTTCTTGATGATCCTTGCAAGATTCCTTCTGTTACCATTTAATTTCTCTTTGGATAATTCCCTTTAGCAGTTCTTTCAGAGTGGGTGTGGCGGTGACACTTTTCCTAGTTTTCTTTTATCTCAGAATGTCTTGATTTCCCCTGCATTCCTGAGTGATGTGCCCCTTGGATAGTCAGTGGTTGATTGGTGTCTACATTTTTTTGTTGGTTTATTTGTTTGGGTCTTTCTAGCATGCCTTTTTTCTATTATGTTGACTAGAGAGAAAAATACATTTTGGGGCCTTTTGTCTGTGCACTTTGATGTCTCTGGTTTGCTCACCAGTCTGGGATATGTGAGGCAAAGAGAAATTTCAGGGCGCTCACTGCCATGTCATTCCTTGGGGTTAGAGGGCGCAATTCAGTCAGCTTTCTCATCACCTGTTTGAATGTTACGTTGTTTTGTGTAAAATATCCAGGTGTTTTAGCTGTATTTGGTGGAGGAAGTAGGGAACAGTAGCATATCTCTCTTTCTTGCTGGAATAGGAATTCTGATATGTAGTAGTTCTAATGTGAATGTTCCTAGTGTTGAGCAACTTTCTCTGTATTTATTTCCCATCAATAAATGCTTTTCGGTGAAGTATCTTGAAATATTTTTGTTATATTTTTACTTTTTGTTATCATACTTAGAGAATTCCTTATGTATCTTGGCAGCAAGTTTTTTAGTAGATGTATGATTTGTAAATATTTCTCTCAGTATATGATTTGTCTTTCCTTTACTTCAAAGCGCAGACATTATCTTAAGGAACTGCACTTCATCAGTTTGTTCTTTTAGGGATCATGTTTTGTTTCTCTCTGAGAAATCTCTGCCCAACTTGTGGTCAGATTTTTTTCCTACATCTTGAAATTTTATCATTTGCACTTACAGATGATCATCTTTTAACGTTTTTGTATATGGTATGTAGTATATATTATTAATTACATTTGAAATTGATTGCTTCCTCAACATTTATTGTAATGCCATACTTTCTCCAAGAAATGATTTTGTATCATTGTAGAAATCTGCATTCCATATATGTGTGGGTATGAACTTTGCACTTCCTTCTCGGGTTCTTTGATCTTGTATATATTTTTGTCAATCCATACTTTAAAAATTGTCCTTTTATAAACAGTGGCTTTATATTAGTTCTTTTTCAGAGTTATCACATCTATTTTAGATCTTTACTTTGACATTTTCTTTTTTATTTCTGTCAGTCTAAATGTCTTTTTTTTAATTTTTTTTTTATTTTCAGCATAACAGTATTCATTGTTTTTGCACCACACCCAGTGCTCCATGCAGTCCGTGCCCTCTCTAATACCCACCACCTGGTTCCCTCAACTTCCCACCCCCCAAACTCTTCAAACCCTTCAGATTGTTTTTCAGAGTCCATAGTCTCTCATTGTTCACCTCCCCTTCCAATTTCCCCCAAATGCTTTCTCATAACTCCCCATGTCCTCCATGCTATTTGTTATTCTCCACAAATAAGTGAAACCATATGATAATTGACTCTCTCTGCTTGACTTATTTCACTCAGCATAATCTCTTCCAGTCCCGTCCATGTTGCTACAAAAGTTGGGTATTCATCCTTTCTGATGGAGGCATAATACTCCATAGTGTATATGGACCACATCTTCCTTATCCATTCGTCCGTTGAAGGGCATCTTGGTTCTTTCTACAGTTTGGCAACCGTAGCCATTGCTGCTATAAACATTGGGGTACAGATGGCCCTTCTTTTCACTACATCTGTATCTTTGGGGTAAATACCCAGTAATGCAATTGCAGGGTCATAGGGAAGTTCTATGTTTAATTTCTTGAGGAATCTCCACACTGTTCTCAAAGAGGCTGCACCAACTTGCATTCCCACCAACAGTGGAAGAGGGTTCCCCTTTCTCCACATCCCCTTCAACACATGTTGTTTCCTGTCTTGCTAATTTTGGCCATTCTAACTGGTGTAAGGTGATATCTCAATGTGGTTTTAATTTGAATCTCCCTGATGGTTAGTGATGATGAACATTTTTTCATGTGTCTGATAGCCATTTGTATGTCTTCATTGGAGAAGTGTCTGTTCATATCTTCTGCCCATTTTTTGATATGATTATCTGTTTTGTATGTGTTGAGTTGGAGGAGTTCTTTATAGATCCTGGATATCAATCTTTTGTCTGTACTGTCATTTGCAAATATCTTCTCCCATTCCGTGGGTTGCCTCTTTGTTTTCTTGACTATTTCCTTTGCTGTGCAGAAGCTTTTGATTTTGATGAAGTACCAAAAGTTTATTTTGGCTTTTGTTTCCTTTGCCTTTGGAGACATATCTTGAAAGAAGTTGCTGTGGCTGATATCGAAGAGGTTACTGCCTATGTTCTCCTCTAGGATTCTGATGGATTCCTGTCTCATGTTGAGGTCTTTTACCCATTTTGAGTTTATCTTTGTGTACGGTGTAAGAGAATGGCCGAGTTTCATTCTTCTACATATAGGTACCCAGTTTTCCCAACACCCTTTATTGAAGAGACTGTCTTTTTTCCACTGTATATTTTTTCCTGTTTTGTCGAAGATTAACTGACCATAGAGTTGAGGGTCCATATCTGGGCTCTCTACTCTGTTCCACTGGTCTATGTGTCTGTTTTTATGCCAGTACCATGCTGTCTTGGTGATCACAGCTTTGTAGTAAAGCTTGAAATCAGGTAACATGATGCCCCCAGTTTTATTTTTGTTTTTCAACATTTCCTTAGCAATTCGGGGTCTCTTCTGGTTCCATACAAATTTTTGGATTATTTGCTCCAGCTCTTTGAAGAATACCGGTGGAATTTTGATTGGAATGGCATTAAAAGTATAGATTGCTCTAGGCAGTATAGACATTTTAACAATGTTTATTCTTCCAATCCAAGAGCATGGAATGGTCTTCCATCTTTTTGTGTCT